ATCTCTCCCCCTTTTGTGAAGCTTCCCCCCCCCCCCCCTCTTTCCTCCCTCTTTTTCCCACTTTCTTTTTTTTTTTTTCTTTTTTTTTTCAGGTCTTCGAGTTTTCCAACAGATAACAGATAATCTAACCAAACCAAACCAAACCAACGACTACCATTCGACTACCAATCAACAAGAAATACCATGATCAGAACGAGTTTGGAAGAATGAAGGAGACCGAGTAACTCACGCCACACCATCCAGGGCCGAGTTTCACCGCCATGTCATTCGACCCGACCAGATCTAACGAAGAATCAACAACCAAACCAACAACACCGAATCATCCAATTTGATCCAATCCAACTACCAACTACTACGACTACCAACAACTACCTAGTTTGCGATATCAGCATCCGCTGGAAGCGAACGTTAACTTGTCATCTACCTACCTACCTACCTTGTGGCCGAGATAAGGTGGCAGACAGTCAGTTGTATGGTAGTGGACGTAAAAATTTGAAGATTTAGTCCACAAACAAACTTTAAGAAAACCTCTTTACAATCCCATTAATTGAATCATAAAATAAACAGTAAAAAGAAGATGGAAAAACATGAAATTATTGAAATATGATTATAGATCATAGATGTATACAATAACAATTTATAACTCTTATGTAGTAGGTCTAATGTTAAAAAGGGCAGGAAGAACTGAAATGAATTATGAATTTGAATAAAATTATAAGCAAATTAAATTAAAAAAGAGTAATGTGAATACAGAAAATCAATTAGCCCATTAATTTGAAATATGAAAGAAAAAGAGGAACATAGGAATTCAAAGATATAAACGTGATCACGACAGCATAGCCGGCTAAGCACAAAATTCTGAAATATTTAAAATCGAGAATTAAAACTCTTTAGACTTATTTTACAAATTACAAATTATTTGTACATTTATTCGTTATTATAGGCCTTCATCGAGATTGATAGATGTCTTTTTTTTTATTCCAACTCAATTTGGACGTCTGACTTTTTGCTCATTTTCGATCACCGCATGTTGAGGTTTCAACTAAAATTAATTGGAGGTCACGCACTTGTAGAGATGCGAGAGGGCTTTAATTTTTGCTCGCGAATTTACCTTGGCAGCGAACTTACATATCCAACCAGAGAGCCTCATACGACGCTGGTTTATATGGCCTAAAATAAATCATTTTTTAGTCTTCGTCTTGTGACCCAAATTCAGGGGTCACGATATTTAAGGTTCGACCCCGTTTCTCAAAAATTCGTACGACTAATCTTGCACGTTAAATAAAGAAAAACGTTAGTTAACGTAAAAATGTATTTCTAGAAAATTTTTTCGTTCAATAACGTTTTTTGAAATACGTAAAATAACGTTAGACGTTAGAACAATCGTAACGTTATTAACCCATTTTAAGCCATTGTCCCATTTATGGGACACCCCAATAATCGTAATCAAGCAACTAATATAAGATGTAGAATTTAATATCATCACCATAAAACATTAGTGGACACACTATCTCTTTGGAGTGCCTAAGTGTTATAGTCTACAGTTCATATTTCGCAGAGTTATCTCCCTTGAATTTGACCTTGCCTTGAAAATGTCAACAAACACATCAAGTAGAAAAAGGTTTGTTTTCTTTGTATTTATAATTGTTTTCTATGTAAATTGCACATACATGTCGAAAAAAAAGTTATATGAGAGTGTTTTAAACAATAGATCTATTAATTACAATGAAAATTAC